CCCCCCATGCTGCATCCAGCTGCTCACTCCCCCCCCAAGGGGGGTACACTTATTAAAAAGAGGGCCACTGCAGGTACACTTATTAAAAAGGTTGAAAACCCCTGTGTTAGAAGGCATGGGAAAAAGAGGAAGTACCAAGTGACTGGTTGAAGACAATAACTGTATACACCTTAAGGAAAGGAGGTCTTCCCACCCCAAATAATTTATAGCAGTAGAGTCTAGTTGTCAGTACCATAAAATGCCATCCTGAAAGGAACAGTCAATAGTTTAAAGCCACTTTTAGGAAGGGTGTGGGTGTGAGAAAGCCTAAGACCATGTGCAAGTGGCATTGGTGAGATAATTACTCTTGACAGTTGATGAAAAACAGCAAGAATTAGGAGGAAAGATGTTTTTCACATCATCTTTACAAAGACAATTGATTAGTTTTGGATGAAAGCATTATGGAGAGTAATAAAATTGTATGGCATTCCAGCTAAGTTAATTGCAAAATCTTTTTATGAAGGCTTCTGCAGTCCCATAGTAATTGGTGGAAAATTAAGCAACTGATTCAAATCCAAGGCTGGTGTAAGACAAGGTAGCATGGAATCATCATCACTTCTTTTTGCCAGTTTTTAAACTGGATAGTAAGAATTTTAGGTAAAAAGAATGGTATGATTTAAGTTCATCTGTATTTAAGCATCCTATTTTATGCTGATGACAGACAACTGACAGATGCATTTAAAATTAGTGATGATACTTCTCACTGCTGTGGAAAATTAACGTAGGCAACTTGGACTTAAATACTAAGATGATGAAGTGATATCTATTATCCCATTTATTAGCATACAAGGTGTTGAAATGCAACAGGCATGAAGTTAAGGAAAAAGCAGAGTCTTATACATCCTTTGGAAGTTTTATGAGAGCCAAAAGTTTTGTCTAGGAGGAACTTGAAAAGAGATGTGCCATATCCGTAAGTGCTGCACAGAAACTGATTAAACTATGGACTGATTATACCAGGTATCAAAATGCAAATTTATAAATGAAACAAAAAGCAGCTAGTGTTTTTTGTTTGTTTGTTTTTGTTTTAAATGATCTGGCCTGCACCAGCTCACCAAGACTCCCTAAGTGGCCCTCAGGACCAAATAAGTGGCCACCCCCCGTTATATGCTGAGATATTACCAAGAAGGGCTTAATGAAGGAACAAGCCCTAGACAGGAATAAAAAACAATGCTGTCCCGCTCTTCATATTTGCAAGGATGCTGTGGAATGAGCAATGGAAGATGACTCCTTAAATCTGAGCATTATTATCTTTAAGGTTTTAAGAAATTGCTATAGGTTCCTCAGTTAAAAAAGTTTTCCAGCTTCAGGGTACAACAAAATCAACTGAGTTTTTTTTTTTCCTGAAATCTTGAGAAATAAGCAGTTGTGGGTTTTGGGTTTTTTTTACATAATTCTGTGAAGAGTTATATATAATCCTGACATATTATATTTTTGTATTCTGTTGCAGGCATGTAGCTGAAGTATGTGAAAGGGGAAGAGACGAGACAAAGAAAGAGTTAACTATATAGATAGTTGAAAAAATGTTACTTTCCAAGACTTTTCACAACAGTTTTGTTTATAAGCCAATATATTAGAATAATTAAAATGACACCTAATGGATATTAAGTATACATGTATGTTTATGTACATTCACTGCCATGACAAAAGTATTAATATAAAGGTATAATGTTGAGTTTGTCTAGGAAAACATCTTGCCCTAGAAAATGTAAAAGCTTTGTGTTCAAAGGATTTAGAAAATAAACTCCCTTTCTGTAGAGCCCTGCCCCTTGGGATTTGGCATAAGAAAGAAAAGAGAATTTCTAAGAAATACCAGGTTTTCTTTGCTGGCATATTTTTTACTTTGTTCTGAATAGAAACAACTTGAGCTCAAAAGGTAAATTTCATTGACTGTAGATTTTACTAAGTGTGAGTTTAGAAGAGAAAGTAAAGGAAAGCTAAGGGTGTACTAAATATGACTGCATTTTACAACCCCTTTCTTCTTCTTCTTTTGATAAGCACTTAACAGAAGTCTATTCCGTGAAAGCTGGCAATTCTTATATTTACTGTATGTACAGATTGGAAATGTCAGAGAAAATGTGTGTGTGGCAAATTAAGGTGAACTCTGTGGCCTGAATTTTAAATGGGAGGACAAAATATGAAGGATTTGTCTACTATTTCATTGCACTTGTTTGTGATTTCTTTCCATGACACCTCTATGAAACTGTCCTTAAGCCATTATCATAATGGAATACTTTGCATAATGGAGAACACAGTCACCTCAGATCTTCTTTTGCATGACAAACCCTTGATTAGAAAAATAATAGGATGGAAATGAAATTGGTATTTACTAGTGCTGGCATAGAGGGTTGTTCTGGGGGGAAAAAATCCCATTTTAAAAGCATCAAAGGCAAAGGAATGGAAGCCATGCTCAATACACTGGAGAATTGATGCTTGTAGAAGAAGGGCTCATCTACTTACAGTAAATTGTTTATAGTCCATTTCTAAGGTAGGAAACAAAGAGAAAGTGAATTAAAAATCTCCTCTATGGTGGGAAGTTCCATAATCACATATGACAAGCATTTGTGTTGGCCCAAAGTCCCACTCATCTTGATAAAACTACCTTTATTGCCTACTATTTAAAGAATACTGCCATGTTACTGCAAACACTAGGGGTATAGACAGATGAAACATTTATACCGATACATCTGCATCATTCTGCTCTCAGCCTTTTGGATAGGATGAGATATAAAGTTAAACAATAAATAAATACATAAATACATTCTGTTGCATTACTTGGGTAGCCAAAAAGCTGCAACTTTAATAGTGTTTCATTCAGGGTCAAAGTTAGGTTTGATATAGCTAACTTGTATCACTACAGGCTCATGCTGCATACAGATGCAACACTTACATTATAACAGCTGATGCACACTCCAGAGAAGCAGCTCCCCCACCCCTTTTAGCACTGCTGGTTTGTTTGTCGCGCCCTTTACACATGTTAGTTGTCCTTGTGAGTCCATACGTGTGTAAATCAGGACTTTCAGGATCACAGGTGATGTAAATGTGTCATAAGGACACTAGCTTTGTGCAACACAAAACCTTACTGTGCAACAATAATTTTTATTGTATGAATTTATTCAAATTTGAAACGTAAGAGAGTGGATCTTGCAAGCCTTATCTGCATGCATCTGACACACTGTGGTAATTCCAGCACATTGGTTTTGCATGACAGAGCTCTAGCACTGCTGCCTAAGATACTTTTAGCTCAAATTTCCCATGGAAGAACGGTATTCTACCTCCTGACTGTAGGACAATGGAACAAACTGCCTAGCAAAGTTGTGGGATCTCTGTTATTGGAGATTTTCAAGAAGAGGCTGGATAGGCACCTGCCAGGGATACTTTAGGAATGGTACATCCTGCATCTGTGCTAGATGATCCCTTCATGCCCCTTCTATGAGTCTGTGATTCTTTATTCATCATTCATTCACAGGGTCACAAAGGTATTAATTATAAACATGGTAAGTGATTATATCTGCAGCTCTTTTGAACTACTGAGTGTTGTCCAGTCTTATTGGGGCTGATTGTATCCTTGTTAAAGGAACTGGTCTGCTTTACTGAGCCACTTCATCTCAGTCAGTGAAGGTTAATAGTTTTTTGTCTCTCTCCTTTTATTGTGGTGATTGAAAACAAGGCAATTTGCTGAAAGGTTCTTGGCCTGACCACGAAGTGCTAAACATCTGCAACTGGCATGAAAGTCAGTGGAGATGATGGTGCTCTACATCACTCAGGATCAAGCTTGTCCATATTAGGTGTAAACGTGTGTTTTTGTACTGTTCCTTATATGACTGGAGTTCACAGAACCTATGCCAATTTGGAGATAACATCATGATTTCATTGTTGTCAAAGATATTGAAAAAAATAAAGCATTGCTGTTTTATATTGCATAATATCTGCTCCCAATATTGCCTTAACAATAAACTCACAATTGATTGTAGTTTAGTACTTATCAGTTTTTCCTTCTAGTAAGGGGGGTAGGGGAATATCAGTTAGTAAGAAACCACAAGATAAATGATAAAGAGCCTTGAAGCCAAGTTACAGATGACCTTTTTTATTTAATCTTGGACAAAAGTACCCTTTTAATTAAAAAAAAAGACATGACAAATGTGATTGTAATAATTAACATATACAAACAGACACATGGTGAAAGCCAAGGATTAAACATTTTAGTGACATGCCTGAGATGCAAGTTAATTTTTGTGATTAGTATTTTGCATTATTCCACCTTTCTCATATTATGCTGTAAACAATTTGGTGCATCAAATAGTGTCCTGATTCAGTGGGTTGTACCTTGTAGAAATACCAGGGGTCCCCTGCTTAATAGCCATACTGTAGCTTCCTTAAAGGAATACTTTTCAATGAATCACAGAGAGCTCTCCCTTCCTCTTCTACAGCCAGACAGGATTATTTTTGTCTCTCTCACAGGCAGAAGCACATCACTGTCACAAAACACTGCTTAACATCATGAACTGAGCCTTCTCTAAAGAGCTATCAATAGGCCCTGCACTAAAAGTGCACACTTAATGAGTATGTTCCTCTCCCTACAGTGCTTTCCATTAACAGATTACTGTGCTAGAGCTGTGCTTAATCCACTATGACTATCGTTATAACAGCAAAAAGGCAAAACAATTCTGTATCCAAAAATTCATCTTAACAGAGTTTCTTCACTTTACACGTGGTAGCAGTGATGGTTAAGCACCATGATTTGCTGTGTTTTGTTTCACAATAACAGTCATGGCACCATTTATAAATGCAATAGCTGTCCTGTCCTGTTCCCTCCACTTCAGGAAAGCTAACGCATCCAAGCTGGACAGCTTGTAGCCATCTCCAATGTTGGTGTCTACTCTATTTGACCCAGTGGAAAACAAACAAAAAAAATCCCATAAGGAAGGGAAGGAAGTTCTGAGAGCTGTTACATGGTTATTGTTACTAGGGAAACCACTTCCTTAGTATTCATGTGTTCAGCAGATCTGTCTGACTGTGTATCTGAGTCTCAGGCAACATAGTGAAGTGTGCTGCACTTGGGAACATAAAGACCCATACCAATACATGTTATAGTACAAATGTCAAACCCATTTAAAATGAAAAGCCCATTTCAGTAAATCAATCCTTTAGAAACATGCTGGTACTTAAGTGTTGAAAAAAATCAACAAGATTTTTCAAAAGCAAGAATTAAAAACTTGGGTCAAAACCTTTAAACTATCCCAGACAGATGGATGCCTATCCAGTTTCTTGTTGAAAACTTCCAGTAAAGAAAATGCCTTAAGTAGCTTCTCTAGGCAGAACACTCCACTGTCCGACTGTTTCTACAGTTACATGTTTTCCTTGAGATGGGATGTAAATTTCAGGACATTTTGGATACAGGGGAATAGACTGCCTAGGGAAGCTGTGGACTTTCCATCAGTGGAGGTGTTCAAGAAGAGGTAGGGCAGCCACTGGTCACGAATGATCTAAGCATAGCTATGGCTATTTTCTACCATGGTTATTTCCCATGCGTCTGCTTTGGACTAAATGACCTGTGGAAGTCCTTTCCAGCCCTACTTCTCTATGACTCTATGGCCCAAATCTTGCAAATGGCCTCCTCTACCATTCTTGAGAAAGCAAAATCCAAGCTCAAGCCTCCCTAACTATTGGAGTGCTTGAAAACTGCAGGGACTTGGGGGTTTGTTTTTTAGAAGACAACTTTTTCAGAGATGTTTTCATCAAATTTGTAAAGTCTATATGCTGAAGCTCTAGAAATACTTGGGAGAGGCATGGCAAATGGCAGTAATTCCCCTTCCTCCTCTCCAACACCTTCACTCTGATAAAAATGGGTTGCTTTATCAAGCGTGACCCATTGTCAGTGCATTCTTTTTACCTCTGATGTATTTTATTGTAAAAATTAAATGAGAAAGAATAAAAACAGTTGTACACTCTGCAGGCTGAGTTCCTTTTACCCTTGACTGACAGCTATAGTGAAAAAATAATGCTGTTAAATGCTGCTTTTTTAATGTCCGCCCCTCTTCCCCCACCCTCCCTTCCCCCAGGTCACAAAATAAATCTGGCTATATACAGAAATTCCTATGATTGCATATAGAAAATTGGCACCTCTGAAAAGCTTTGCAAACAGGAATGTGTTCCCTCCAATCTCTTGTCAGCCAGAGCTGTGTATG